GCCAAAGGTCGCCTAACGGCAGGAGCTGGCAGTTTTCATTGCAGAATGCTTGAGTGTGAGACAAAAAACTGTACAGGTGCTCATATAGACTGTCTCATTGACTCCACCAGGATAATAATCTGCAGTCCCATTCCTAACACTACAGGGGAACTTCCTCCGCTTGACCGTGACGCATGTGTGGTGGGGGAGACGGACGCAATGCAATTTGTGCTTCAACAGTTGAACCCTGAAGATGAAGACAAGCATGGGAAACTAAAGTGCAAGGAGAACACAAGACGGCGTGAGCTCTGTTTTTTTCCAAGAAAAGCACAGGAGACTCTCTAAAGGGGGAACAAGGGTCCTCTCAGGTCAATTGTGCTATGTTTGGGCAGGAAGGTGTGAGGCCAAAAGGTAGAATAGTTGGATCAATGACAAAAAAAAACGTTCACAAGTTTTTAAAAATAAAATTGTTTAAAACGTGCTTTAAGTTTAGATATTTTTTTCTTGGGTTTTAACAAATATGCTGTCTGTATTCATGGTGATTTCATGATGCAAAAAGTATTATTTTCAAATATCACTAATTATTCATTCATAAATCATTACATTTTTTTGGGGAGTCAAATCACATATAGTTGAAAAGTTGTAAAATATTAATGACAAGAAGTGCAGCAACCCTGGAGAAGATTTCCTGCAGTTCCTGAGACTTTTGCATGTGCTCCATTTGTAACAGTAGGGCATATTGTGCCTGGGTGTTAAAGGTGAGACTGAAATGGGTGCACAGGGGAAGAAATGAACCTACACTCTTTCAAGCCCGAAAGACAAGCCTGTATGATTCTTGGAGCCCAGTAGCACACCACCATCTGCAATCATAACATGCTACTGCTCTCCTGGTCCGCTGGCTTTGTTTGAATAAGTTCAATGTGGTCTGAAACGAGGCTTTGGTAGCGCTGAACGTGGCTGGTCCTGGACGAGCTGTATATAGCTTTGAGAAATCAATGTCAGCCTCTTCCACATACTCTCACACAAGGAACACTATTCCAAAGGATACAGAAACTTTTTGAGAGAGCATTGAGAAATTCCTGAAAGGACTTTTAGGTAATATGATAGAGTAAATGACCACCTTCCCAAAATCTACTTTAAATGATCAATATTTGGTTGGGCACGATTTTAACCCAAGACTGCCATCTGGTGGCTGGATTACATTTAGTAGTGGGGCTGTGCCAGAGTCCTGTGAATATGCCTTTTATTAAGAACCAGTTCATGATTAGGGTATGCATCATATATATGGTGGTTTTTACTTGGAATATTTCAGTCATCCATTGTCAGCCTGGTGGGAAAGATGGCAGTATTGTGATAGAGAATGCTTATGCATTTCTTGCAGCAGATGCTCTCTGTCATGATGAAGAAAGACTATGCAAGTCTTCCTTCAAAGGCCTAATGCCTTAAGCCTCCAAAGTTGGCGAGTAGTTTTAATGACTGAAAAAAACCATCATGATCAAAGCAGCTCTATCCAGGTTGAGAGCTTCCGCTCAGCTTACAGGCCTATTCACTCTTTGAGACAAAGCGAAAAGAACAAAAGGAAGGAGTGCACTTTTTGATTCCAGGAGATAATGCATTTTCATGAGGGTTCTCCTGGATAAGTAGAAGTCTTTTGAGGACCAAGCCTTGAACTTTCTTTCATAGTATGACCAGTGGCTAAAAGGTGGTAATATGGTGATGTAGACCTCTGGTGGGAATCGTAAAGGTTTAAACAATTCTGGTTCCGGTTCCTCCTTAACGATTCCAGCTCTGTAGCGGTTTTAATAATGACTCTTTTAGAAATGTAAGAAATAAATATTTGGAAAAAATAAATGTAATTTCATTGCAGTAAGTATACATTCAAGTCAACAAAAAAAGGGAAAATGTATTATCTATATGTTTTATACATTTATTGACTTGTAATTTTTAGTCAAATTCTTATAACTCGATCTTTCAGTGAAAAAGACATGTCTCTGGTGAAGTATGCCAGACTTCTTCAATCATGCCAGTCTGCTTAAAGCCCATCCCTCTACAATCGATTGCAAGATCACATCTGTTTTACACAGGCTTTTTAATGACTATTTATTGTCTTTAAATAACAATACTAAAAAGTTCACTCTTCGTCATACTCAGTGCTTCAGGGGTGTGGTGCTAAGATTTTCTTTTTGTGCAATTGGTTGAGATTTCTCTGAACCATGGGTAATGCATTTTTTTTTCACAAAGGAATTATGCTGTTGAACACAATTATTAAAAAGTAAGTTGAAATAATATGGGCCAATGGCTTCAACAAAAGCTTACCATTGATACCTAGTAGCTCACAGTTAGTGTGTCTTTAAAGGTTTATAAGTTACTGTTGAAAATCAATTCTCCTGGAGAAAATAAATGTGATTTTTCACTTCCGGAACCTGATTGTTGCTCTCCACAATGGCCACAATACCAAAAGGCAATGCTTATGTTCTGATGACGTGATAAGTGTTTGGGATTTGAGGGTAGAATTTCACAGGACTCCTCATAGGTTATCATATTGCTTTGGCAACACACATTTTTTTGAACGTGATGGATTCGGATCCAAGCTATGGTTTTCAGAGGGATTTGTGGGTTGGGTTGAGCGCAGTGTAAAATGAGATACGAGAGACGATTAAGTGTTTCAATTTGGTTTTTGAAAGCAGATGCTCCTCTCCTCTCTCCCACATTTATTACATTATTTGCCGGACAAGCTCTCTCTCTCTGATTCGTTATTTCAGCACGCTGAAGACAAACAAAGGCCAGCCAGCTGATAGAACATCATTTACCCCTGAACTCAATGAATTCCAGCACAGAGTGACCTGGTTGCTCACTTTGTGGTTTCACCTAGAGGATCGTTTGGCCTGTGCTGGAACCAATAGGGAGAAATATGCTGTGACCTGGTAGCTTAATCTTATATTATAAATGGAACAGTTGCGTAGCTGTTCCTACACCATCTGTAGTGCAACCACAAGCTGTCAATCTGTTAAATGTTGGGCTAATCCACTAAACGGTCTCCTTTCCTGTTGGAGCCAAAGCAGGAAAGATGATTCATTTATGATGCATTTAAGCAATATTATACTAGCAAGAACGCTGTCCCAAATATTAGCATGGCTGAGACTGGGCCATGGCCACGAGGTGACAGGTGATTACAGCAAAAGCACAAATTGTGTTGTATAAATTATCCAATCATTATACTTCAGAAAAAGTACAGATTCCTTTATGGAAATTGACTCAAGTAAAAGTTCAAGTTGCTCATAAGAAAAACACTTAAGTAAAAGTATTAAAGTAACTGATAATAAAACTAGCCTACTTAAGTATCAAACGTACAAGTAGACTACTAAATGTTATAAATAATGGCACAGCTGACTGTATCAATGGCAACCTAACTGAGAGTCTGGAAATATATAAAATGCATGTAATAGATATACAAGATATATAATACTTCACGAGTTTTATTCAGATTCGTGATTTGCGAAACGAATCATGTACACCTCTTCGCGAACCACTTTGACAAATTCAAAGGAACCGAATTGAATCAAAAGATGAATTCACGAACTGGATATCTCTCGGCGATCAGCAAAATTGCTTTCTGTTTGTTGCACTTTGCAATCGCAAATGTAGCGAAATGGTCAGGAGAAATATGTCGGAGTAAAAGTATCACTTTTTCCTTTAATATGTAGTAAAGTAAAAGTAGAAAAATGTATACTCGAGTAAAGATACCGAGCACCTGTAACGTTACTTATACGTAAGTATTTGTACTTCGTTACTATACATACTGAGCACAATTACGATTGGGTTATTTATTTTGTACAAAATAATGTTAAATAACTAGACACAATGTGGCCACTCACTTTATCTCTTTTTGCTTCGGTTGAATTTAGGTGTTGGACCTCTCCGAGTTAACATGCAGGCTTTTCTGAATGAATCAGTGTTCCGAACGAATCGGTTCTAGGTTAAAGTAAATGATTCAATGAATCATTCATAAAGACAGTCACTTGAGGCCACCTGCTGGATGTAACACACAGAAAGAGTCAAAATGGAAAATCCCTCACGATAACGTATCAAATAATGAATAGGCTATGTTGTGTATTTATAATAAATATAAATATTGTGATTTATTTTTCTGGTCATTGCTTGTATAGGCTATATGTGAAACAGAAATGCTGACTGATGAATTTTGCAGGCATTTATGAATTACTGTCTTTTCCCCCAGTAACGTCTGCATTTGATCCATTTCTGCTGAACTGGAAAACTGTGGCATGAGGTTTGAGAGTTGGTCAAAGCATTTCTCTCTCACCTCTTTATATTTACCACAGTCTCTGTCTCAACCTCACCAGTGTCACAATGCACATAGACTCGTTCTTTCTTTGGCATCTATGTCTGTGTCTGCCTTTTTCTTTTGCCAGACTGTAAACGAACAAAGTAGAGAAGTTTAGGCAGATTGTACTTTCTGTTTAGGGCCAGATAACATTCTAGTTTATTTTGGTTTTCATTTTACCACTGGTCCAAACATGAATGACTTGGTTCATTTTGATATGGTTTCATTCCAATATGGCTCTTGGATTTTAAGAGCTACATGTTTTAGGGGAACTTGAATTATTGTGTTCATAATTTGAGGGATCACTCTTAAATATCTTTAAGATTCTTAATTGGCATCTATGGTTCCACGAAGAACCTTTAACATATATGGAAACGTTCCATTCCACAAAAGGTTCTTTAAAGTTGAAAAAGTTTCTTTAGGTTTTTCAAATGTCCTTCACACTAAGAAAAAATGATTCTTTTAATTGTTCACTGAAAGATTCTTTGGGGAACCAAAAATAGTTCTTAAAATGTTTCTGCAAAATTCAGCATGTAGGGATTCTGTGGGGTGTTTGTCCCAACTCGCTTTGGTTTAATGTTGCATTTAAAATTCATGATTCAGAAACAGGCTTCCTGTCTTGTCAAAACAATACATGTACACTACACCGGAAACTATGATGTAAGGTAAAATACAGCGGTAGTCAAAATAAAGATATTTATTATTTTGGTAAACAGAACTCTTCATTACATTTGAAGGGGATAATGACACAAATACACACATATACTGTACACATTTCAACACCATACCGCATGCAATGTAATCTGCAATACTCATATTCATACAGAAAAGCTTTCCTTAAATAAATGATACTGTATCTTGCACTCGGGTTTATTTCTGTCCCAGCCTCTCCAGGGCTTTATGTAAAATCTTTAGGTCATCCCTCATCTGCCCTAAAGCATTCTGGATCTTAGAAGGCTCATCCAGAACCTCCATGCTGCAAGTATAGGGATCATATCTAACAGAGAAGGGCTTCTGTATTGTGGATGAATATTGCCTGTGGAGCAACAGCAATAGCAGTCACTAATGAGGCTTTCTGATCATTTGTACAACCTCAGTGAAAAGGTTTCTACAGATCATCTGAGAAAACACCCACCTTAGCTTGTGTTTGGTGTCCTCAAAGCTTTCGGACACAAAGTAAACAGGCTGATATGACTGGTCCTGGTATGGTTGGACCGCAGTCTCAATTGGGTTGAATGGCTTGTATTGGGGCTCATTAGAAAGGGCGTACTGGAAAAAAAGATACAATCCATTTAATTTTCAAAAACAAACAAAAAAAATGCTGTTCTTTTGAACTTTCTATTAATCACAGAATCCTACAAATCACAGTTTCCTTAACAATATTAAGTTAAGCACAGTTGTTTTCAACATTTATAATAATAAGAAATGTTTCATGAGCTCCAAACCAGCATATTAGTGCTTTTTATTTTTGTCTTACCAAAAGTTCTCCATATGAGGACAGTAGTCCAGCCCCATAGGCCTTTACTGTTCCATTTTGCTTACAGAGACCAAACTCCACTGTAAACCAGTATAGCTGTGTGAAATTTAGAGATGTTTTGTTAGGCTACACATACTAACATGTACAGTATAGTACATACATACTGTGAGCATAAATGGTTTACAGGATGACAGAATACAGAATGACAGAATTTATAAATAATGTCATTTTAACTTTTTTTATTTTTTTGACTTTGTAATATGAATGAAACAACACAAGGGGGCACTAAAGACTTGCTTTAATACGCTAATATTCAGTGAAGTATTCTCCAGCAGAATATTTCCACAAGGATGCACTCACTGTGGACAGTTTCTCAATATCCTCATCCAGTGCTCCAAGCGAGGCAAGTCCAATCTCCTGCAGGGTAAAATGTTCAGTGTCAAATACACACTGTCTTTCAGGATTTCACTTCGTGGACAAAGATTGGTTTACAGGTTGACGATTTAAATCAGATCTTTCTGTATTGAAATAGCATGCATTATAAATGTTAGTAGTCCAAATTCACACATTTCCCACTTGAACTGTTCATTTCAAGCTGTTTATGTGGCATAGAAATCAAACTTGTACTTCTGGACAAAAACATACCTGTGAAAACTGAGCAAATTCTTTGTCTGCAAGCATGGGAATATGTCCAAGTAGTTCATGGCAGCAGTCACTGTTTAGAGTAAAATAAAGTTAAAATATTAATATTGTGCATTAAAAAGATTTGCCAAATGAAATGTTGTCTAATGGGTCTGTGTCACTATACTTACGGTTCAGGGGAATGCATGGGAGCTGAAGGGTGACGAATGTACTGAGTACACTGGAACACCCGGAACGCTAGACTGGCTAGGAAGTCCCGAGCAGAGAGCAGCCCTGCCACTGGCCGCAACTGAAACCCTGTCCTTTCTAAACAAAGGTAGACACATTCACAGAACATGGTCAATATGAACTGCAGTTTTGCAACTTTATTGCAGGAACAGAATAAGCAGGCCTGTTTACCTTTAAGAAAAGCAGAAACTTCTCCTAGCTGAGGGATCTTGTCCTCCCCATACAAACATTCACTCTCCAGCTGACCTAGGGCTTCTAGAAACTGTCTGCAGGCATGAGTGGGGTACAGACCACCCAGAGTCCTGTAGACCTCCCTCCTGCCTCATCACAAAAAGCGCTCTTAGAATCATGCGGTCGCACTAGTCTTCTCTAAACATTTGATATGCAAATAATGACATATAGTTGACAGCGAGAACATCAATCAAACTCAATAAAATAATTGGGAAACCTACCAAGTGTCAATCTCTTCTGGAGTGTATTCCACTACAGGTAAAGGGTCACCACTACAATGACAAAAGAAAGATAATCGGTTCCTAAAATATAGTCACTTAGTTGATGAATGAAGTTCATACAGTAATATAATTTATATATATTTTTCAGATTGATTAATTTCATGTGACTTACTGCTTATATTTGAAAGCCAGTTCAGAAATGATTCCTCTTCGTTTTCTGTATTCCGGATCACTGAATCCCTGAATGTTACAATCGTTCATGTCACTTGTATAACAATTGATCTGAATAATTCAATGCAAGTAGAACTAAGATTCTAAAATTCTGAATGTAATTAATGTCCTGTTTGAAGAAAAGCATCACTGTTTTTCACTTACAGGGTGATCCTGGTCCAGATCAGGGTCGTATTTTGTTATCAGATGATTGCATTTATCCAGGTCAGAAATCTTCTTTGGAAACCAAGGAACTGTATGTTAAAATAAAATGAAAGGAACATTATGAAATAGTTGAAAAGAAATGTCTGATTGCAGTATATGTAATATGGAATAGCTAAATCACCTACTCTTTTCCTCTTGCACTATTCTCACGTCATCTGCAACTCTTTTTATGGAGTTGATGAAGATGTCAGTGTCAGAGCAGTGCACTTCACACTTCATGAAGAACTCCAGATCATCTCCACCGCTCTTCTTAGACTTCCTGCTCGGTCGACTCTCCAAATGGAGGAGCTTTGCTTCGAAAGTCTAAGTCGCAAAGCCAGACAAACGTTTTTATTATGTTTTCATCACAAAACATTTATTTATGGCACCTACAATGAAAAAAAGCATGAACATAATGCATATACCTAGAGCCAAATTTGACACGACTAAGAAAGCAGCGCATGGGCTGTTATGTTTTTAGTGTTGTTAGCCTGTTTTATGTGTGTGGGGTTTTTTTTAGATTTATTTGCACAAATGTGTTGATTTTGTTTGCTATTCTGAAATAAACCTAGAGTGGGGTGACAATGGGGATCATTATTTTGTACAAATATATTTGATTACCACAATAAATTCACACACAGATTTAAATTGCCCATGTTTTCTGTCGGTGTCACATTTGTAACAACAGCTCTGGTTGTCTTTGACCTTACTTAACACAGTTTAGGTAATTCGATTTTGAATACGTTAATATACAGCAAAATACTTATAGTAAGGTACACTGAAAAATGGTGTAAAACAATTTTCACTCAGAAGTCACAAGTTCCTAGTAAACTTCCCAAACAATTACAAGGATAAAAGGCATATTACACATTGAATTACATTTGAAATCTTGAAGCAGAAATACTAAAATGGTATTTTCTTGTACAACGTACTCCAATAACCTTTGTTTTATTTACAACTTCGAAAAATCCCCCATTTTTCTTTTTCTCTTTTCCTTTTTTTTTTCACACGTTACAGAAGTTGAAACAAAATGTCACCACGACTGTAATTTATGAATGAAAGAAGTAAAAGCACGTACCTCAAAGACTTTGCCAGCCTTGAAGAAGCCTGCGTTTTTCTCATTTTTGAGAGCAAAGAGGATGTTGAGAGTGACTTTACCGCTTTTCTCCTCCTCAAACACGAAGCTGTCCCCGCAGCGCGAGGGGCCCGGAGATGGCGAGCCGCTCTCTCTGTCGCGCCGTGAGTCCTCGATCAGACTGCGCTTTCTGCCGCTCAGCGGAATGTTCTGCACTATACTGTCCGTCTTCATCGATTCTTAGAGGATAAATAGGCCACTATATCTCAAATAAATATATCCAATTAGTCTTTGTATACTAAAATGGTATTTTCTTGTACAACGTACTCCAATAACCTTTGTTTTATTTACAACTTCGAAAAATCCCCCATTTTTCTTTTTCTCTTTTCCTTTTTTTTTTTTCACACGTTACAGAAGTTGAAACAAAATGTCACCACGACTGTAATTTATGAATGAAAGAAGTAAAAGCACGTACCTCAAAGACTTTGCCAGCCTTGAAGAAGCCTGCGTTTTTCTCATTTTTGAGAGCAAAGAGGATGTTGAGAGTGACTTTACCGCTTTTCTCCTCCTCAAACACGAAGCTGCCCCCGCAGCGCGAGGGGCCCGGAGATGGCGAGCCGCTCTCTCTGTCGCGCCGTGCGTCCTCGATCAGACTGCGCTTTCTGCCGCTCAGCGGAATGTTCTGCACTATACTGTCCGTCTTCATCGATTCTTAGAGGATAAATAGGCCACTATATCTAAAATAAATATATCCAATTAGTCTTTGTGTCGACACCAAACTCCAACTCTGCCTAAATGAGGAGAAAACTCTTATGTTCACTGTGGGGCCAAAACACTGCAATTTATAGACAGACGTGCTAAATAAATATATCCAATTAGTCTTTGTGTCGACACCAAACTCCAACTCTGCCTAAATGAGGAGAAAACTCTTATGTTCACTGTGGGGCCAAAACACTGCAATTTATAGACAGACGTGCTGGATTTTATGCAAATGTGTTGCGTAAATGCAAGTCTAATTTTAAGCTGAGATGCGTCACGAGTTTGTGTTTTTCTTTTCCAGATAAGAGCAGTGACACGTGACATTTCACAGGCGCTTCACAGCCAAAAGCGACAAATTGCATAAACTAAATGCCATTTTTGTGTGTGTGTGTGCGAAAAGTCAGCACTAAATGAGTCTTTATTGGAAATATCTAAATAAATAAGTATCTTTTGTTTATAGGGTCGTAAATGATACAGAAAATACGGCATTGATACTGAGCTGCTCTCCAAGGTACTGAAACCGACTTCTGCTGTACGCATGCTGCTCCCTTAAACGCGATAAATAACAAAAACTATAACAATAATAATAATAATTATTATTAGAATTAGTACAAGTACTAGTATTCTAAAAAAGAATAAATGGCAACAATAAAGGATGATAATAATAGTTTTAATAATAATATCTTTATTTTTTTTTAATACATGTGACAATGCATGCATAGCATCTCAGTCCTCAGTACAGCCACAGATGAATGATATAATGCAGTTTTCTGAATTACATTCACAATAAAGCGAAACTTCAAACTATATTTCGTTACGTGTAAGTATTTTAATCACTAAGCTTTAGTTTGCATATGAACGCATGTTTTAAATAAGCAATTTAATACTGAAAATAATTCGTCCCTCAAATGCGTTCGCTCGACACATGGTTTCAACAAGCCTTTGATGCCGTGATTCATTGATTGCGGGTTGTTTGGGGAAATTACAGCAACATTGTGCGACATCATGTAGCAACAGCTGAAGCAAATGTTGGACGGTAGGCAACCTGTATTTTTGTACGATTAAACTATACCGAGAAAAATACAGTAGGCCTATATAATATATATAAAATAACAAATATTGCGGCAGCGGGCCTGATCGTGCCCGAAGATTTTTGGTATTTACATGCGATTCGTCTGGCATAGTTTTTTTTTTCTCCCGTGTTATTTCGTTATATGTCATTTAAATACGTAGTGGCTAAATATATTTGGACTAGCAAAATATGTCTATAAATATGTTCTACATGCAATATATAAGGGCTAATTTAATATTTAATATAATGCTCTCTCTATCTCAGCTTGATTAGAAAATGTTGTAAATGAGCATAAAAAGCAACATAGACGATGCTAATGAAGCGTCTTTGATTTTCTAGCATTTCTTCTTTTCCCTCGAAAATCCTCCAACATCGTTTCACTCCATCTTTCGCAGGGCAGTGCACAGGATTGAGATTTCACCTTGGAAGAAAAAAAACATCCATTTGTGATCCATGCGGGATTAAATTAAAACTTGAACATATTACTGTAAGATAACAAATATGGCAACAGAAAAAAAATCTCCAGGTCAAAAACAAATTTGGAATTCATAAATTGCTTGTTTAGTTACTAATCATAAGATACGCTGTATTTAAAAAAAAAAAACTGTGAAAAAAAATATTGACACTGTGCAGTTTTTACCTCAGGGAATTATTTCTAAGTTACTATGATTTGATTAAAAACTAAAAATTTTAATTGCTGTAAAAAAAAAAGTAAAAATACAACCTGAATTTCATCATAAGTGAAGAAAATTAAGTCCAGAGTCCAGAACTCTGAATTTAATTATAAAATAAAAATGAGTAGACTAACTGAATGGAAACAAAGTATTAAATAATGCTAAAAACAGTTTTACAGTGCTTATCTGATCCTTAAAAATTACTTGTGAGTGTACATGAACGTATTCAATTTGACTTTTAGATAGTAAACTATATTATTTGACTTTTTACGGTGTACTTTTCCAAAATCCTTACTATAACTCTCAAATCATATTTTTTCCTGCTCATTCCTCTTGTCTTTACTTTCAGTAGAGAATTCTCCTATCTGATTTTTTTTTCTGAAAATCCAGATTTTTCATTCTTAATTCTTGTATAATATAGGGAAGATTAAGTGCTACATAATACTGAAGACACACCGCTGATGTTGTCAGCCAGGTTCTTCAGCTGCTGTGTGTTATCCAGCACCTCAATTCTCTGTGTGTAGGCATTGTAGCGCACAGAGAAAGGTCTGGGAATGATGGAAGCAAATTTCCTGAAAAAAAAAGATAGATAACTGGAAAAAATGCTGAGGGAAAGGAATATTTTGGAGATGGTTTAATGGCAGTCACTTTACCTGACTTTTTCTTTGGCATCCTCGAAACTTTCAGCCACAAAGTAAACTGGCTGGAACTCTGTAATGGGATACTTCTGCTGGCAGGTCTTCTCTGGCTCGAAGGGCAGAAGTTTGGGCTTGTCCGTCAAACAGTACTATAAGACATCAGAATAACATCTAATTTTCAGTCTGTTCTCCACTTTAGCCATGCTTTTGTGCATCAGTGTCATGTTTCTGTGTATCACTCCACTAATGGCACAATAAACTCAACTGGGCTGCTAACCCATTTTCTGAAAGCTCGCAGCAAAAAGCCAGTTTACTTTGATGGGTTAGAGCACAGGGCATGAACCAGGAGGAAGTATTCTGAGAGGTACCACATACAGTACATACCTGCAGTTCGCCAAAAGATGAGAGCAGACCGGCACCGTAAGCCTTTACTTCATTTCCTTCCTTGCACAGACCATATTCCACAGTGAACCAGTAGACCTGCAAAAAAATAAATATTATAATCATGCAGCCCTTCTGAGAGAGACAAATATACCTTGTGGTCTTATAATATGGCCTCAGTTAAAATGTGGAAAATTATTCTTATTGTAACCTAAAGCAATACTCACTGTAGCCAGCTTCTCTATGAACAAATCAGGGGCGCCCAAAGAAGCGAGTCCAATTTCCTGATCAACAGGAAACATCATCACATTTGGATATTATGTCACTGATAAATGCACATTAGAGATTTAAAGTCTGAAGCAGATGTTCTCTAGATACCCACATAATACTATGGAAGCTTATTTCTGAAGTTCTGAATTTTTTCTCACAATTATGAATATATATATATATATATATATATATATATATATATATATATATATATATCATAATTAATTAAAAAAAGTGTCAGAATTGTGAGAATAAAAGTCAAAATTACAAATGTATATCATGAATTTCACTTCTTTCATTCAAATTAACATTATAAATTAATTATTATATTATATTATATTATCAAACCTGTGAGAACTGGGCAAAACTTGGGTCAGCAAAGAGTGGGACATGACCCAGCAGCTCATGGCAGATATCCCTGAGGAAACAAATCCACTTTTTTCCCCCCCTTTTGATCACTTTTCACAGTTATGACATATATTTGTGCCATTTATTCCAAACAAAGCTGTAACAACTTCTTGGTCTGTATACTCACGGTTCAGGTGTGTACATGGGTTTGGAGCTATGGCGAATGTACTGTGTCGAGTGAAACACTCGGAAGGCGAGACCAGCTAAGAAGTCACGCGAGGAGAGGAGACCGGCCACAGGACGCAGACGGAAACCTGTGCATGCTGAGAAATCAAGAAAGGGTGAGATATGTAGTGTAGAAGTGAAACACTAGTTTTTCTTTGTTTTTTTCCTTTTCTTTTTTATTACACACTAAACCTTCAATTTGACTTCCCCTTCACCTGACTGTATATGAGTATAAAGCAGCTCTACTGAAGGACACTCTTACTCTGCAGGTAGTGTGAGATGTCCTCTAGCTGCGGGATGTTGTCCTCACAGTACCCACAGTACTTCTCCAGAAGAGGAAAAACACGGTTGTGTTCATGACAGGCATGCGTTGCGTACAGAGACTTCAGCTCTCTAAAAACTGTTCCCCATGTGGCCTTCTCTTCGGCAGTATATTCAACACGTGGAATAACCTGTCCACTAAAAGAGGAGGGAGATTTAGCTCATTTGATCTCAGGAGGGAGGTTTAGCTCATTTTTAGGACACAATGTGTTCAAATATATTTGTCTGAACAGTATCCAACAAACCTAACAAACTTTATTTTGAGAATGATTTTGCTTGAAAAACATGTTTGTGCTATTTTTCTTTAAAAAGAAATTCCACAGTGATATTTTGTTTTATAATGCAAAGACATGTACACTACCGGTCAAAACTTTGGAATAATTTAGATTTTTACAATGTTTTTTTGTAAAGGAGACACATTGAAGACACACTGTACGTCATATCTATGTCATATCAGTGATGAGTGGTGTTATTATTGATGGAGCGTGTATGTAAATGTGGGGGCGTAGCATTCAATGCTCCTGCCCTTTGTAGTGGCCGTGTGAATAATGCATCTCAATTATGATGACAAAGCTCCCGGCACTCAGTACTGCACTGGGGCCCTGCAATTTAGCCCTTTTGTTAGGCAGCAGGAGTAATTTTCCATAGAATGCACAACAAAACAACAGGGAAAGTACTAGAGGTGGGGATGATCCCTGTAGCCCATGAGAAAGTGGGGGAGAAAGAGAAAACACTGAGGGCAATAGTTACTGTCTGTAGTTGTAGGCAATGTCAGCAAATTCCTTTCTTCTGGCGCGGTACACGGGGTCCGTAAAGCCCTGTGAATGACAATGACATTAGAGTGTGAAAGAAAGTGGAGCTAGTTCTAATCTCTCAGTAGCCTTTGACAGTATTTCTCAGTGTCATGGAGGAGACTCATTCAAATGAAGCCTTTGTAGAGTGTTTGCTGCTCATGATGAATGCATTTCAGTTTAATAACGGCTGGAAAGGGGCAATTATTTATAATTACAAGGGCTCAATTAAAGCGATGACATCAATTTGAGAGCCCCCGCCCGTTTCCATTAGAATTGAGAGTGATGCATATTCTGACTGTGGGCTTTTAGTGTCGCATGGACCAACTATGTATCTTTCAAAATACACCCACACACGCATGCGTTTGAAATAAAAATGAAGAAGTTTCCTCTCACGCTCACTTTCACTCTTTTCTTTGATCATACAGACAGTCACTTCAAAAACACACACACACACACAGTGTCTTACAGGATGGTCTGCATCCAGCTCGGACCCATAACTGAGAATCTGATTGGCAAAACGGTCCAAGTCCTGGATGTCATTGGGGAACCATGGAACTTTTGATGAGAGGGAAAGAAGGAAGAATATTTATGGTAATTATATAATCAATGCAATTTATGTCCTGTTGACAGCATATTTGACATGGTGTGTCTATCCTTGTGAAAAAAGTGTACTTTTTTAAGTACTTGACAAATTATTTAAAAAGTACTTAGAAGTAAAACTTTTAATTTGACAAAATACACATTTCAAAAGTATAGTTAAGTGTGTAAAAAATGTACTGATGAAAGTATTCTCTCTTTATGTACAATTAAGTGGCCTTTTATTTCAATAATATTACATTATCTGCAAGTATATGCTACAAGTGCACACTCATTATAATTCAGTGCATTTTTTTCACAAGGGTATAGTAATGCATGTACAATGGAAATCTATGGGGCAAGGCAAGACTTTTATAGACAACTTTGCAACACATATAACACATTTCTGAATATAATAAATTATATAAGTGCTTTAACAAAATAAAAAAATAAAAAACTGAGCTGCCTTCCTCCTTTAAACCTTCCAGAATTACTTGACCCTAGACTTTAATTGAAAGTATTTGTGAGTTTTCTGATTTAGATTTCAATGAGATCTATATTGTTTCCACTCTCTTTATTAAATTGAGATTAATGTACTAAGTTCTAAATAAGTGAACTTGGTAATATTGAATGCTGTGTTCGCTAACGTTGGCATGCTAACAGAGATGGATGACACAGTAGTAAACAGAAAGCATTGTGAGGCGAATGAGCCAGAGGGTGACAACGCAGTCCAGGCTATGAGGCTAAATCTTGCTCTACATCAGCTAGATTTATGACAGTTAAACTCTTTGGGGGTCCAGCCATTGGTACAGAGT